AAAAATGACCGTGAATTTAATGGTAAAAGACTGTAAAAATGCTACAGTAAAAACTTGTTAAATGGTTAATGGTAAATTCCCCTACTATATACGGTGAAAAACTGTATTGGACATTACATGTAATTTTACGGTAGTATACCGTTTTTGAAAGTGAAAAAGACCGTAAATTGACATTCCCAACATTCCCTGCATTACATTTCAAATTTTATGTTTTTTTTTGTTGAAATAACTATGTTTCTTCTTAGTTTTTTCTTATCACTTTTGTATATTAGGGTTGTGTGTTACACCTAATGTTGTTAAATTAAAACCGTAAAACCTAAAATGTTGCTGGTAAAATTTTACGGAATTTTTTTACAGTGTACAATGTATTTTTGGCTATTGTTACAAATATACCCCAGCGACTTAAGACTGGTTTTGTGCTCCAGGGACACATTTATTTGAGCAAAAAATACAGCAAAATATTATCAACATTTTGAATTAAGTTCTATTTTAAAATATAATTTATTCCTGTGATGGTCTCCGGTCTTTCGTTTCCTTCAGAAATCATTCTATATGCTGATTTGCTGCTCAAGAAATATTTATTATTATTATCAATGTTAAAAAACAGTTGTGCTGCTTAATATTTTTGTAGAAACTCTTTTTTTCAAGGTTTTTAATGAAAAGAGAGATCAAAAGAACCATGTTTATTTGAAATATTTTGTAAAATTCTAAACATGTTTACTGTCTCTTTTATCAGTTTAATGCTTAATAGAAGTATTATTTCTTTCAAAAACAAAAATCTTTCTGACCTCAAAAATGTGAATGTTAGTGTATGATGAAAAAAAAACTCATCCAAACGTAGAATGTACACATATAAGATTAAACAGATATAAAAACTTGAATGTGTCATATTTGGTTTAATTTTGCACTTGCAATTTTTAGTCTAAGCACATTTGATGTTAAACCGTGACAAAATAACTAAACTTAATGGACATTTTTGTTGAAAGACAAAAACTAGGAGCACAATAAAAAGACAACAACAAAAAAGACCTGCGCAAAAATAACACTGGCAGAAAGAAACGATTGAGAAACCCAAGCACTCAGCACCAGATCATTCAAAGACATTAATGACGAGTTTCTGGAAAAAGCGAACACATGAGAACAATGTGGTTTTCTGGAAGAATAAACTAAGTACTCTCCAACCGCCTAATTGCACTTTAAGTGAGTTGCAGAAGTTGTGAAAGCAGAGGCTGAGGAGTGTCCAGATGGGCCCGGAGATAGGGTTGAGTGTCATTTAGAGCATGCGGCCGGCCAGGGTGCCCTCGCGCTTGTAGTTCACAATGCACCATTACCATCCACTCTCATTACCTAGCGGCCAACAATATCGGCAGCATTAACGCTACCCGCAAGATACGATTTTCCATTCCAGCTGTTGGAGGAAGAGGATGACATGTCAAGCCTCACTAGACGATGATTCATACGAACCAGACGCCGCTTACCCCCCCCGAGAACCGAGATGTTCTAG